GTTATCGACATATATTTCTACCCAGTAATCGGTAGTCGGTAATCTTTCCTTGAGAGTTCATTACCCAAAATTTTCTACCTAGTACTGGGTATCCGGTAATGTTTCTTCACCCTTTTGAGTATTTTTCTCATCCTTTTTGGTCAGTTATCGACATATTTTTCTACCCAGTAATCGGTAGTCGGTAATCTTTCCTTGTGAGTTTGTTACCCAAATTTTTATACCTAGTACTGGGTATCCGGTAATGTTTCTTCACCTTTTGAGTATATTGCCTTTATTGTGCTATCTATTGATTGGTAGTCGGTAATATTCTCACCCCCTTTGGTTTATTACGCTTATTTTCCACTCAGTAACCAGTAGAAGCATTTTACCTGTTCTCTTTGGATCGACTATATTCGCCCAGTAACTGGCAGTTGGTATCTCTTTCCCTGTTGAGTCGTTTCCTTTCCTTTATCGGAATAGGATCTTGCTTTTTTGTTCTCCCTTGTGGAGTCTCTTTTCTTCTTTTGCTCCCGAACTTTTGTATGTCTCCTGTGGCATTTTCTCCCCACAGAGGTCTTGTGTTTGCATACCATTAGCATAACCATATTATTTTGTGGTCTCTTAGGGCCAAAAATTGGGTTAATTGTTATATTTAAGTCTCTTCTATCTGGTCGAGACAAAGATGTCAATCTTCATATCTCCGGATAGAAGAATCTTAAATAGGGGCAGCTGTAATACCCTAATTTTTACCCCTAAGATCCCACATTTCATTTGCATATCATTCCACAAACAAGATCATACTTTTTGATTCTCTCAGGTCCCTTGTTGTTTCTTACTTGCTTTATGTTTGTTTCTGTTTACTAACATCTAACCAAAATACCAAAAATATTTTTCAATTTGTTTGTTTCTTCTTCTTCTCTGTGTGTTTAGGGTTTTGCAAGGAGATTAATGGCAAAGACATTCATTCAAGTTTAAATCAGATAGACGTTTGACCTCATCTTGGTCAAACTATCAAGAGTTTGCTTCAACTATAAGTTACCCATGGTGGTGGGCTATTTTCTCAGGAAATGTGATTTTTCAAGATCAAATTGTCTTGTGTTGAAATTCATTGATTTATCAAGCAGTGTTCTATGAGAAGTTTGGTCCAGATATTCAGAGAATTATGTCAAAAATCAAAATTGATGGCCGATGATTCAGTTGCAAATTATTCAGTGGTTCGTCTTTGAATCTATCAGGGTAAAGTTAGAATTTGGTTTAGATGATTGTTGCTTCAGTGAAAATTGTTGATATGGCATCACAAACTCTCCGTGTAATTCTTTCAACTGAAAGAGGCCAAAAAGCTTTACAGTCATTTGATTCTTACCAAAAGTCTCTCGTCGAGATACATTCCAAAGGCGTTAATATCGAACTTGTGGAAAATTTCCTTTTGGATTTGGATAGGAAGTCAAAAGCTTTCCAAGCTACTTCTGGGTGCCACAACATCAGCTATTATCTCAAATTTGACAAAAACTACAAAATCCACTGTGGGGCTGTCCTTGTCTATGGAAACATCGCAAACTCTTTCCGTTTCTGAGTATATAAAACAAAGGGCAAAAGAAGCAGTTGGAGCAGAAGATACCCCGTTGGGTGGTTGGTCTGTAACACGGTTACGTTCTGCTGCCCATGGAACTCTAAATGTTCCGGGGTTGAGATTAGGAGTTGGCCCAAAAGGTGGACTAGGTGATCACGGTGATGCGGTATCTCGTCAGCTCATACTTACAAAGGTTTCACTTGTGGAAAGGCGTCCTGAGAACTATGAAGTTGTTAGTGTTCGTCCTTTATCTTCGGTGTGTGCTCTTGTTCGGTTTGCTAAAGAACCCCAGATGTTTGCAATTGAATTCAGTGATGGATGCCCCATCCATGTTTACGCAAGCACATCTCGTGATAGTTTACTTGCAGCAGTTCGTGATGTGTTGCAAACTGAAGGTCAATGTGCCATACCTGTCTTGCCAAGACTAACAATGCCTGGTCACCGTATTGATCCTCCCTGTGGGAGAGTTTATTTGCAATATGGTCAACAAAAGCCTGTTGCTGATGCTAAGTGCATCCATGCATTTGAAACACTTAGCAACTGCTGCCAAAGATGATATTGCCGGAAGAGGGTATGAATATGCGTCTGCTTCAACGGTGAAAGATTGGGAAGATTGGAAGTATCAAACTCAACAAGAGATGATTCTAAGCTCGTTAATTCTCATGCATGTCCATCTATCTCAAGTTGTTATTAAGGTAAATGATTCTCTGAGAAGCCAATGTGGATAAATTCTCCAGTCTCACAATCATCGGTATTTTTAGAATGTGATTCTGTAGAAATTCTTATTAGTAGGGATACATCTGAGAGTATCGAAAGCTCAATCAAGAGTGAGCTTCCTGGACAATGGCATCAATTCAAACTGAAGGTTCAAAGGTTTGAGTTGCTATCTGTTAGTAATACAGGTGGTGTTAAGGCTGCGATTTTCTTTCGACTAACCCATGGCGAAGGCAAGTTGTATGGGTCTGTTCCTGATCATGAGTTTTTTCCGATTACTTGCAACAACTCCTCTGTGAAGCAAGGTTTTGGGGGTCATTTATACCACTAGCTGCCATTGTACCCGAGCTTTTGCATCATAAGACCGCAGGTAATGAAGCATATCAGGTTGGACGACACGTAGAAGCTGTTGAACACTATACATTTGTTTTATCTTGTAATTTGGAGTCTCGTCCATTTGCAGCTGTCTGTTATTGTAATCACGCCGCGACATATAAAGTGTTAGGTCAAATAACCGATGCTATTGCAGATCGCAGTCTGGCTATAGCTCTTGATGGAAACTATTTGAAGGCACTTTCTAGACGTGCAGGTCTGTACGAGATGATCAGAGATTATTCCCAAGCAGCCAAGAAGATGCACAAAGTTGTATTACCGTTTCTAGTGTCCAAAGAAAGAAAAGGCAAACTCTTGTTTTCTCTGCAACTGTCGCATTATCTGCTGATTTTCGCAAGAAGCTAAAGCGCAATTCAATTCAGAAAAAGCAACCATCGGCAATTGCTTTGGATTCTATTGAAACTCTTTCTGAGCGAGCGGGAATGAGACCCAATGCAGCAATTATTGATCTTACCAATCCATCAATATTAGCAGCCAGGATTGAAGAGTCATTTATTGAAAGCACAGGAAGCTTTAATAAATTTGATAACACTGTGGCAAGGAAAATGGATGGTTATAAACTCCTTGAACATGTTGAGTTGGAATTGATCTTCTTGTTATTATGATGTCTGCTGATGATAGGATAAGTACTGTCATGAAGGAATATACGGCAGCATGTCGTAAGGAAATTTTTGAATGAAAAGAAGGAACATGATTATTCTGGCAGCATAGAAGATAATGATTGCAATGCTGCAAGCAAGTCCATTCAAAGTAAGCTTTCTTCTGTCAAAGGAATGAAGGGAAATGTTCTTTCAGTGGTAAGGATAAATGCATGCCTTGTCAATGATCAGGGATTGCTGCTCACTAAGTCACGCCACCAGACCCGAGTCAAGGATAGACAACATCCAAGGTCAGCTCGGCCATTCACTTCAACCTGTGATAGTAAGAGATCATCAACTGAAGAAGACTCTCGGTCAAAATCAGTTAGTGATCAAGGTTCTTACCAAAGCATGAAGTCCATTAGTGTCCCTAAAGACCATCTCTGTACTATCCAGGAGTTGCAGCTACATTTGGGTGACTGGTATTACATTTATGGTTCTGGGCGCGAGAAAGGGCCTTCATCATTTTCAGAGCTACAATATTTAGCAGATCAAGGAATTGTAAAAAGGCATAGCAGTGTATTTAGGAAATGGGATAAACTCTAGGTTCCTATTACCTCTACTGCAGAAAATTCAGATGTCTGTCTCATGAGCCACCAAAAAAAGTAGTTCAACATTGGGTTGGCTTTGAAGAATACTTACTGCGATACAGTTTGTCATTTTTACATTTGTGGAACGTAAACAGTCAGCTTGATAATTTGCTGATAAGTGATATGAAACTGACGAGACCAGGAAATTTTATAGTAGCTTCGGGTCTGCAGGGAGATAAAGGTTCATTGACATTGTCATTTCCTGGTCAGAGTGCTACTCTTGAGCTGTGGAAATCATCATCCGAGTTTTCTGCAATGAGACCACTGAGATAGGTTTTGAAGACATTGTAAGACGGTTTGCAATTCATCATGTTAATGTCAGTTTCTTCTTGCGGAAAGTACGAAGCTGTTGAAGCAACTGATGCACGATTGACACGACAATCCGAACTAAAGCAAGTCGACATGCCATCATTCCCAACTTCCTGCGTGCAGTATGACCATACTTGCTGCAAAACAAAAAAAACTAGTCATTCGAAAAGATGCAGCTCTATGTTGTTGCAAATTAATTGCTGTTTTTTTTTCTCTGGTATTGCGAGCGCACATTTTGGTTCTAACAGGCTGTCTCGATCAGGAGGGAAGCGCCGTCGTATTGTTGAAGAGCTTGTGGAGAAGCTTCTCATTTCTGCTGTTGCTGTTCTGACAGAGGTTTCACGCATATCAGAGGTGATCATCACTCAAGGATATAATGAGGAAGGAATCGACACTGTTCGCTTTTGTGTTCAGGGTGAGTGGATTCCCGTTGTTGTTGATGATTGGATTCCATGTGAATTACCGGGTAAACCAGCATTTGCTACAAGTAAGAAGGGTTATGAGCTTTGGGTCTCTCTATTGGAGAAGGCATATACCAAGTTGCATGGCTCTTATGAAGCACTAGAAGGTGGGCTTGTTCAGGATGCTCTTGTGGATCTTACTGCAGGTGAGAGAGGTGGATGGGCATAAACTTGTTCAAATCCGAAATCCATGGGCCAATGAAGTTGAGTGGAATGGTCACTGGTCTGAATCATCACCTGAATGGACAGATAGGTTAAAGCACAAGCTGAAGCATGTTCCACAGTCAAAAGATGGTATATTCTGGATTTTCGATCAATATATATTTGTCGTATCTATCCATCAGAGATGCGTCATACTGTTCATGGTCAATGGCGTGGTTACAGTGCTAGTGGGTGTCAGGATTATGATACATGGCATCAAAATCCACAGTTCAAACTGACTGCAACTGGTCAAGATGCATCATTTCCAATTCATGTATTCATTACCTTAACTCAGGGTGTGGGATTTTCAAGAACAGCTGCCGGTTTCAGAAATTATCAATCCAGCCATGATTCACTGATGTTCTACATTGGAATGAGGATTCTTAAAACTCGTGGCCGGCGTGTTGCTTATAACATATACCTACATGAATCAGTTGGTGGGACAGACTATGTAAATCCTAGAGAAATATCTTGTGAAATGGTTCTGGAACCTGAGCCAAAGGGATACACTATAGTTCCTACTACTATACACCCTGGGGAAGAAGCACCATTTGTGCTTTCTGTTTTCACCAAGGCATCAATAACTCTTGAAGCTTTGTAATGCCCAGGGGTGGCTACCTGTTGATGAGTTTTTTGCTTAGGTTCTTTGGGATCATATACTTGCACTGCTGAAGTCATGCATAAGAGCATTTTGCCTATGACTATATTTCTTAAAGGTTGAAGTTTCTTGCATGAGTGGGTAGTCTCAAAACATTGTGATATGATTTCCTGATGGGTCTGTGGCAAAGGCCTGGCCTGTTAATTCAATGGATTGTAATGGGAAGACTATATGGAGCCATGGACTAGAGAAGGAAATTGGAAGTCCAATGTATGGACCCTTGCGGAATGGTAAGGCAGAACCTGTAAACCTTCAGTTTGGTTTTTATGGGATCAGGGCTTGGCCCTCCGATGGTGGAACAAGCCATGCTGGAAGTGTTGATGAGTCAAAAGCCGACGGGACTGACACGGGTAGTAGATATGTATCCTCCTGCTGTAGTTCCCCCAGGATTTCTGATGGACCTTCAAAGATCCTTCCTCCACCTATATCAAGAACCGATTTTGATAATACTTGCTCGAAGACTGTTGCTCAGGGAAGAATCTGTATATGATATTGGTAACATGTCTTTAGCTGGCGAAGTTAGCTCTAAAGAAACTGAAGATAGAACCAAGGGAGCATCTCTGGTCAATCTGTTTGCTGAAGCAATCAAAGGCCCATTCATCAGAGAGTTAAGTTCAAATCGGCACTCTAGATCTGCTCTTTCATTATTTGTCTTCAGTTGGGACTTCAGGCGATCAGATTCAAATCTTGGTGGAAGAAAATATTGCAGATTATTTATTTGAAATATTGAGACTAACAGAGAATAAGAATCATGAAGTTCAAGCCAAGCCTTCAAGTCACGTGTTGAAAAAAAGAAAATAATCCACGTCACAATTTGAATTTGAGCTGCAATCAGAAAGAAAGAATAACACGTGAGCTGAAAGAGAAAAATCAAAACGACGTGAAAAAAAATACAACCACAGGTCACGCATAACTTGAGTAACAAAAATGCACAGAAAATTGCAAAACGGCAAATCACTCTCCCTCACTCTCAATCTATAAATACAACACATACCTCATTCATTTCTTCAAGCTTGAAAAGCCAGAAAACTTCTGCAGAAATATCATCCCAACCTTTAATTTTCTTCAAGCTTCAATCCTCTTCACCTCTCATACTTTCTTCGTTCATCAAAACCATTTCATACTATATTCACTCTTCTACTTTTTTTCTTCCAAATTAACCTCAAACAGAGACCAATTTCGAACTACAATTCATTCAGAAGAAGAAGAGAAGCAAGAAGAAGTTTGGATTGATTGTTGCTCCTGAGTTTGAAGGTAGTTTGAGCTTCACCGTCATTTCCGATCCGTTACTTTTTGTTGTGTTTCTTTGAATTGTTGGTACTATTGTGAAGAGCTCTTGATTCTGATCACAACCGTGCTGGTTTCGCATCCCGCCGCTTTGATTTGAGTAAGCGTTGAAGCTCCCATGGCCGTGAGCAGTGTCGTGAGAACTTGAAGAAGAAGTTGTATTCTGTTCTTTCTCTTTTCTTTCCTTTTCATTTATTTTTATCTCAATTTTCTTTTCTTTTTTTAATTTCTCTTTTTTTATTTGTACGTGGAGCTTTCCACTTTTTCTTTTTCTTTTTTCTTTTTACTAGTTTTATTAATAATATTCTTAAAAAAAAAGTTCTTGAAAAATCATTTAAAAATATTTTGATTTGGATTAATTGTTGGTTGTTTTAGATCTTGAATTTTGATAAGATCTCATCAATATCAATGGACTTTGGGTGTCGATTTTATCCACTAAGAGAGGTGATTGATATTGATGATGATCTAATCGATTTAAGATTCAAATTGAAATTTCTTTTCATTTTAATTTTCTTTCTTCTTCTTTTTATTTTTGATCGATGAAATCTATGGATCATAGATTGTTGATTATCAAGGTTGTTTAATCTTCATTATTTCAAATCTATGGACGAATAATCATTGAGATAATTCTCCTTACTTTGGAATAGTGATAGATTACCTTTGATTAATTAATTAAAAATCTTGATTATGATGAGATCACTACCTCTTTTCTTTTTGTGTGGCATGTTTTAGGAGAGTGATTTACATATCACTTCTCTAACATGTATTAACACTAACATTTTATTGACCGGCCTCAGATAGTCGTGGTTTCTACATAAACCCGATTACGATTGCTTAACATAGCGCTAAAGTGTCCCTTAATCGGAAAATGATCATTCGTGGCTCAAACTTACGTTTAAAAGTCCAAGTATGTTTAGTTGCTTGTCTTAACTCCAATACCTATGAAAATCATTGTTAGGAGGCTTTGATTCTATCAATCCTCTAATGAATTTTCATTAATCTTGGTCTAAGTGCAAGAATTAATCATCATTGATCATATGTTCTAACCACTAACCACTAATTCACTAACAATATCCTTGTTTAATTTTGCTTATATTCTATTCTTACTCCTTATTTCTTACTTTTATGCTTCCATTTTATCATTTCATATCATATCTTTGTTTATGTTTATTCTCTTTTGTCCACTTGGACCATACTTTGTTCAAAACACTAATAAAGGATGAAACATCTAAAAAATTTGGGTGCTATTAACTTTGTGGTTATGCTCTTGGACTACTCTTAGACCTTGGACTTTATGGACCTTTGGACTTAGAATTAGGGCTCTCATTCCTATGCTTGGAGTATTGTGGATCTTAGCCTTTATTTGGCTCGCTCATTAGCTTATGCTTTAAATCGGATGGAATTTTTTTTTTTGCTTGCTATGGAGTGTGCTACAAGTCGGTTAGATCTTTCTTACCTCTAGCTCTTATTTTGTTTTTTTAGGATAGTCACTTCATCTCCTCCCCTTCTTAAATTTTCAAAACTTTCTCCCTCTTTCAAAACCTTCTTTGGTTTCAAACTTCAAAACCGATTTCGCAATAAAACCTTGACTTACGTCAAGTGATTTTTAAAATTTGTTTTTTTTTCTTAATAAAAGTCAATCAATGTTAATCATGTTTTGACCAATTTCAAAAGACATAAAAAATACAAAAACTCATCAACTCTTTTTGTGCCTTTATGCATTTTTTTCACTTTAAAACTTTTCATAAAGTTTAGACATGATTCATTTCTATAGTTGAGATGTAAATCTCCTATTCCCCATATTATTAAGACTTTGACATTTTCCACGTTGATGTTGAGTGATAGTCTTGTTGATAATCCAAGCAAATCCTCCATCTTTATGTGACGCAAATGTTGTCTTAATACTCGTGGGTGGATAGTCGCAGTTTTCTCCTTGAAATGACGACTTGTCTGTACATCTAAAATCAATCAAAACCAACAAAATTTTGTCATTTGTACCACGAACTACGGGGTTTTGATTCCATATTGCACTTTATGGGTACGTAGGCATGAGACGATAAGTCTCTCCAAACAAAAAATATAAAAAAATAATTCTCTTCTCATCTCCCCAATCTCTTTTCAAACAAACCATTTTCAAACCAAAAAGCGTAAATATTTCAAAGGGCTCCTATAGAGTACTATAGACGTTTTGGGTGCTAACACCTTCCCATTGCGTAACCAACCCCCTTACCCCGATCTCTGTCTCGTGTTCTTATTTTAGAACTCTTTGGTTTTGTTCGCTCTTTTTCCTTTCCTTTATTTGGATAAAATAAAAGTGCGGTGGCGACTCTTGTTTTTTTGAGTTAAGTTAATTAATAACTTACGCTCACGATTTTTACCGCTACAGGTACAAACCATCTTTACCAAACTATGATAGCATTCCTCAACACATTAAGCCACCACACCGTAGCATTCCGGAGAATTACAAACTTCTCCCCCACTGGAATCATTCCTGCTTCTGCAGACAAGGTTAGGAAATAAACACGTACCGACAGTGTTTTCACACACATGCCGTATACTAGGGATTTAAACCACAACACCAGGTTAAACAACACACAGTCTCCATCCCAAAGGACAGACTCAACTCAACTCAACAACACTGGCCGGACGGACCGACCTGCTCTGATACCAATTGTAACACCCCACTTCCCAAAATCAATTAAATTAATAAACATTATAAATAAACAAAATCAGAGTTCCAATTCTCCCAAGTGGGATATCACATAAAAACAACGTTTCCTTATAAAAAGGTTTATCTCCAACTTCAGCGGAATATTAAATAATAAAATTCAATAAAAGTTTGATACGTTCACAGGGAAATAAAATATCAGTTCAACATAAAACAAATAAAAACGCCCAAGTCCCGTGCTACGTATCAGAGCATCCTAGACTCGACAATCACACCAATATTCAAGCTAGCTAAACACCTGGATTATCTGTACTTCCGAAGAAGCACAAACCACAACAACAACAAAGGGGTGAGAAATCATGATCAAAAATATAATGGTAATGTAATACATGTAAATAAGGTAGTACAACACACCAACACACCAAGATTCACCCCTAACAACACCATATGACGAACCTACTGTTCAAATTACAATATAACATATTATAATGCAAAATGCAACTCAACACCATGCATGCGGTACCGACTCGTTGGTTCATTCAATCGAACCTGGATAGATCACTTACGCTCCTCCTGAGACATGATCTATCCCCCACCATTCTCCACAAAGGAGTACGAATGAATCACTTACGCTCCTCCTGAGACATGATTCATCCCACCAAAACACCATGATATGCACACACCAATGCATAACTAATATATTTAGGCACTCAACGTGCACACGATCCTCCTGATCATATCATCATACATCAATGCATATATGTACAGATATAACATACACCAACACCATATAAATCAACCAGATAGTAAACAAGTTCATATTTTAACACCAAGATATAAACATATCCCACCACTCGGGGGTACACGATCCTACTGATCACTACATACATATACCTCAACTAATTGTCCACCAGTCATTATTACGGGAAACATGCATTATCACCAAGTACACAAGTTAGTTCCCACACTCATCATTCTTACAGTGCAT